GAGTTGTGGATATTTTCATTTACTGATTTGACCAGAGCTACTTGACACTGCTATCGACAGGTAGTTCAGGTCCCTCTGATGACGTTGTCGTTTGAGAGCTTCTAGTGCTGCTTAATATCTACATTCTCCGGAATTAGATTGTCAACTTTTCTGTAAGTGTTACATGTTTCGTTCCAGAGAGATTTTATTTCATCGCTTGCGTTTCGTTTAAAGTAACCACGGAGTTTCATCCTCGCTATTTCAGCATGGCACTTTAGCTATTTTACGTTGAGGCTTCAATATTTGTAGGGCAGAGATAACATTTCTGCGACGCAGCTGCTTACAGGCATGGTCAGCCAATCTCTCAGCCAATCAGATTTATTATAAAAAAATTATTATTATCATTATCAATATAAAAGTTATTATTATTATTATCATCACTATCAATATGAAGTTTTATCTAAAATTATTATTATTGCTGTTATTATTATTATTAAAAAATATAGTCAGCCAAAAAAATATTTTTTTATTTTAAAAGAATCACTTGTTAATTAAACTGCATTATTTTTAAATTTCTGCATAAAGAGTCATTAAATATTTTGATAAATGCAGGTTACTGCTTAGGTTCAGCACCTCTGAGTATAACATAGAGCAGCAATATAATATAAATTATCAATATATAAATTACCAATGGCAGAATGCTGCCACCACACAACAGAATCTCAGCGCCATCTTTAAACAAATTTAAAATTGAAACGTTAGGGCATCCAATTTTATTTATTTTTCCAGACTAACAACGTCCCAACTTCATGAAAAAATTATAATTTTAAAATAAAAATATGACAGAACTGAAAATATAGTGAATGTCTAATAGAAGCCTATAGGACAGTGATAACATAACATGCAGTTGAACGAATGACAACGTCATCACTCATGCAGTACTTACAGCTTTCTGGCAGTTTGCACAAAAATGAACATTATTCAGTTAATAATTATTTTATTTATTTTCAATATATTTTAAATTTCATTGCAGTTTAGATTTGATTGGTGATCCAAGGAAAAGGACAAAAATAAGATAAACTTCTAAAGAAATTGCGCCATTATAGTTCTTACATTCAACATATCTTTTTTATATTAAAGACTAAAAAGAATATTATTAAAAAATATTATAAATTTTATTGTTACTTGAGAACTATATTTAATATAATTGTTTATTTAATATAATTGTTTTATTGTAGTTATTTTAAAATTATTATATTAAAATGGCTTCAATTAAATCATTATGATTATTTGTTGCATAATACGTTTTTTGCAGACAAACCGACACCACACACATAAGCACACCACACACACACACAAACATACATACATACATTTATATGTTAAATTAATGACTAAGCTTTTTACAATGAAATCTCAAAAAACTTCTTAACTAAACCTAAATTGTCAAAAAATATTTAAAGCCTTAAATGAAATAAAATAACAAGGACAATTCTAATTATAAAATAAATGTGTGTAACAATATGTGGAAGGGTTTGACGCAAAAACCAATAAATATAAATATTGTTTTACTTTTGATCGAAATTATCAGATTCGTACGCTTCTTTTTCAGGTTTTCTCACTTTGTGTTTATTATTTTTTTACGTTCATAGTCCAAATTGTGAATCTAAATTAAATTGACTGGCGTGGAATATTTCCACCCGGCATTTCAAAATAAAATCAATCAGATTGCACCGTGAAATCCATTTTGAAGACTAATATAACTAAACTCAGAGAAGAAAAAGACTAAATATCTAGACTTCATGTAACGTTAAAATTTGATTCACAATTTGGATTACAAACATAAGAACCTAATAAAAAAGTTAGGTAACAAAATAACAAAACATCATGACTCGATTGAATTTAGCAAAATATTGTTATAACCGTGCTACCGAACGCACTAGATTCTAGCGTATTCTAGAATGTTCTAGTGACTGGAGCATTCTAGAGTATGCTAGAATCGCACCATCTGGAAGAATCTAGAAACGACGCTTGCGAAGAGTATATAAGCGCACGTCGCAAGAAGATTAGTGAAATCCGTGATTAATGAAATTCGTGATTTTGTGATTTCGTGAATAGCGATTCCAGTGGCGTCACTAGGGGGGTGCGGGGGGTGCGGACCGCACCGGGTGACACCCTCACAGGGGGTGACACCAAAATATCACTGTATATGTTTTTATGTCCCTCCATGAAATTATACTTATCATTAATTTAGCCTAACCCGCCCAGCGCCCAGAAATGTATTATGAATAAAATTTTTTTCGTTCAAATCATTTTTGTATTCGACATTTATACCATTCAAATTCGACGTCCGAATTATTAAGCGCCGCGGCCGAGCACATTTAACTTGTTCGTGTTTATAAATTTTGCTAAGAATGCTGTATGTCTATGGGGTGTCATGAGAGGGGTGACACCATGAGTTACCGCACCGGGTGACACCAACCCTAGTGACGCCACTGAGCGATTCGGTGAATTATTTAAAGCGATATTTGATTTGTTTGTTGACGTTGTCATAGCGATAGATTTTAAGCAATTTAAAAGTTAATTGTTGCGTTAATTTGAATTTGCTACCGTGTTTCCTCATATATAAGACATCCCTCAAATATAAGACCTAGCACGTTTTTTGTCTATTTTTCTAATATAAGCCCTCCCTCGAATATAAGCCCTCCCTCGATTATAATTTCTAGTATGAATCAGCTGACAACAACAAAAACTTCTGTCAAAACCACACCGGAAACGTCAACTGCTGCAAGATTTTTCGTTTTTCGAGGATTTTTCGTTGTTCGAACTGTTTTTCCTCCTTCAAGCATATCCTGAGGTTACAAAGCTGTCAAAGTAAGGGTTATTTTTTCTATTTAAATAAACTATTTTGTAACATTTTGCCCATATTTAAGATGAGTGGCAAGAGGAAAAGTTACTCTGTCGAATACAAAAAAGGAATTGTGGAAGAATGCAGAGATCAAAATATTACTGCATTTTGCAAAGAGAAGAAGTTGGACGTACGAATGGTTAGGAAATGGCGAGCACAGTATGATGATCTCAATCAAAAGGTTGAAGATGGGCAGGCAAAAAAAAGAAAATGTGGCTCTGGAAATTGTCCATTCTTTCCAGAGTTAGAAGACATCATCTTTGACTGGATTGCTGAGAAGAGAGAAAACCGTATGGTTGTGCGCAGAGCTGAGATTCAAGCTTTTGCTCTCGAGATGGCTCCTACACTTGACATCCCTCCTGAGGAGTTCAAAGCTTCAAAATGTTGGCTGGATCGCTTCCTTCAGCGGTATGAACTCTCACTACGAAGATCAACAACACTGTTCAAGCTTGAGGATAAAGAAGCTGTCAAGAGAGCTCTCATGTTCAAGTCTTTCATGGATGGTTTGGATTTTTCAAAGTATCAGCTTTCCAACATGATTGCTATGGATGAGACTGCTGTTTACATGGGTCAGGACACTCAAAAGACAGTCGACTTCAGAGGAGCTTCATCAATTTATGTACCATCAACTGGATATGAAAGTGCACGCGTCACCTGCATTTTGGCAATTCGTCTGGATGGGAAGAAAGCTGCTCCACTTCTTATTACCAAAGGAAAGAAAGAAAAGATTGAATGCCAGGGAGGAGTTTATGTCTTGGAATCAGAAAAGGCATGGAGTACGCAGAATGTAATAAGAAAATGGGTGGACCTTATGCTGCCACTTGTTTTAAGAGGAAGTCAACGAGGTCTCCTCATTTGGGACTCTGCAAGCACTCATCGTGCAAAGGATATGAAAAACTTCTTGGCAGAAAGAAGGGTTGATCAGGTTATGATCCCAGCAGGGATGACTGCTTACCTCCAGACCTTGGACATTGCAATAAACATGCCTTTCAAGGATTACCTCAGACTTGAAATCAATGATTATATTGAGAATAGGATGTCAAGGAACAAAAATAACAACTTCGTGAAGCCTAATCTGCAGGAGGTAGTCTCTTGGGTAAGGAATGCATGGGGCAAAGTCACTGATAGCTGTGTTGCAAAGGCTCTGAAAGCAGGGTACTTGGACAAAACATCGCCATTTGAAGCGAGCAACATCGCAAAACACGATAGATTGGGACCTATGATACTGAAGGAGCTGGAGTCAAATGAAATCTTGGCTGGAATTCAAGGTCTTGATCTGGAAGAAAATGATGATATCCCAGAAGATGATGATCTTATTGTATTTGAATAAAATATTATTGTATTTGGGAAAAATAAATGATGTCGAAAAAATTGGCATAATAATATAAGCCCTCCCTCGAATATAAGACCTAGGGCAATTTTTGGGAAAAAATTAATATAAGACCCTGTCTTATATTCGAGGAAACACGGTAGAAATAAACGATTAGTTGATTTCTTCTGTAAATAAAGTTTAATAACTAATAACTGTTTGGAGTATTTTATTCAATCGAAGATTTGAACCCGTCGCTTCGTAAATCGAATACGACAGCGAGTATTATAACAATATGTATCAAAAATTTATCTTTCCAATATATATATATATATATATATATATATATATATACATACATATATATATATATGTATATATATATATATACATATATATATATATATATATATATTATTTCTTTTTAATTTATTAATTTCAGAGAAATTAGACATTTTATTGTTTTTTTTTTTAAAATTTTATGTTGAATGTTGAAATAGTGTTGAATTTTTGAAATATATATATATATATATATATATATATATATATATATATATATATATATATATATATATATATATATGTAACAGACTGCTGTTAACGCAACATTTCAAAAATTGAAACACTGCTTTCAACATTGTTCAACTTTTTTATATTTCTTTTTAATTTATTAATGTCAGAGAATTTGCAATTGGAACATCATCAATAGTGACAACCCTAACAACAACATCAACAACACCAACAACAACATCAACAACAACAGCATCAACAATAACAACAACAACAACAGTGCCAATGCTACCAATGATACCAATGATACAAAGATACCAATGCTACAACCCACAGCGCAAATATCAGTTGCAATTGGAACATCATCAATAGTGACAACCCTAAAACCAACATCAACAACACCAACAACAACATCAACAACAACAGCATCAACAATAACAACAACAACAACAGTGCCAACACTGTAGATACCAATGCTACAACCCACAGCGCAAATATCAGTTGCAATTGGAACATCATCAATTGTGACAACCCTAACAACAACATCAACAACACCAACAACAACATCAACAACAACAGCATCAACAATAACAACAACAACAACAGTGCCAACACTGTAGATACCAATGCTACATCCCACAGCGCAAATATCAGTTGCAATTGGAACATCATCAATAGTGACAACCCTAACAACAACATCAACAACACCAACAGCAACATCAACAACAACAGCATCAACAATAACAACAACAACAACAGTGCCAACACTGTATATACCAATGCTACAACCCACAGCGCAAATATCACTTGCAAATGGAACATCATCACAAGAAGCAAGAAGAACCACTGCGATGATAATAATAATAATAACGTTAACAATAATAATAATAATAATGTTTTTAAATATTGTCAAAAAAATATTAATAATATGTAGTTAATTAAATAAATTAATTCGCGCTTCTCGGCTGAGCGTTGATATTTACCTTAACAACCATAACATAAACAATCTTGCCGTTAAAAAATTTTAAAAAATTTTAAAAATCGCGTTTTATATTGTTTATAGTTATTAAATTTACTTCATTGGTTTTCTGTTTTAATTAAATAATTTATATAAATTAATAATTACTTGTTCTTTCTTATCAAATATCTTACATACCTTATATATAATGCACTGAAGATGAGTTATCTATAACTCGAAATAGCTATTTGCAAATTTATTTAATAAAAATTTTTAAAAAACAATAAAATGTCTAATTTCTCTGACATTAATAAATTAAAAAGAAATATAAAAAAGTTGAACAATGTTGAAAGTAGTGTTGAATTTTTGAAATATATATATATATATATATATATGTGTGTGTGTGTGTGTGTGTGTGTATGTGTGTGTGTGTGTGTGTTTGTATGCTGATAGAATAACATTACGTGTATATAATATATTTTTTTATAATAATAATAATAGCAGTATAAAAATATCATTTGATGAGCGGAAAGTCCTGTGCAGTGCGGAATATCAGGAACACCTAGGATCAATTTCAAAAAAAAATTACTTGGATGCAAAAACATGCTTACGAGCGGGCGAGGATCTCAACGCATTGGAATCCATCATCCAGTCATTGCGTCGCAGAATGCAAACAATTTACTACTAGGCTATCTTAATAGAGTGTTCGTGTGTGTGCTCTTATGTATATATATATATATATATATATATATATATATATATATATATTTACACACACAAATGTATAATTTCTAGTCAAAAAGAATTTCTAAATATAATGCTGTTATTTATGATATTTGGTTTTTATTTAATTTAAAATCTGTAAACGGTCAACTGACTAATGACCAAATATGTTGATTATAAAAACATTTATATATAAATTATCAAATGGTCTTAGCGTAGTATTTAGATGTAAACTGTTTGAGATTTTTAAATATAATTCTTTTTTATACTTTTATGATCTTCTTGTCAATTTTTCAGTCGATAAATCATTTAATTTTTATTAATTTTTTTAATAACCAAATACGACCAAAAAAAGTTTACATTTCTCATGTTCTTGGGAAACAAACGAAATGAAATTAACTTAAGAAATTATTCAAAAAACATCTTATAATGCACAAAGTAAAATTAGATAACAAAATAACAAAAACATCTTAACGTCTTATAATGCAAAAATTAAAAAAAATTTCACTGATAATAAGCAAGGAAGTTGCTCTGAATAAAAAAATATTGAACTGACCAATCGCGTACATTCCTCGTTTGTTGATCTTTCCAAATAAGTTTTATCTCCAAGTTTGCACTTTTTGTTGAGGAGGGCTTCAACGTCGCATGTACGCTGCTCGGCCCTGGTCACTCTGTCCTTGAAGACATCCAGCAACAACTGGTACCTCTCAGGTATAGGGCTTCTGTCGGTGGGGTTGTTGTTTCGTGAGTTTAGTCAATTGAAATTCAATTTATATATATATATATATATATATATATATATATATATATATATATATATATATATATATATATATATATATGTATATATAATAACAAGCAAAATATCAGAATACACGGCTTAACTTTCGCACAATGTTCACTTTCTCTCACCGCAACCCAATCAAAAATCCATCCGAAACCAACTTATTAAAATTACTTTCAAGGACCAATAGTGATCAAAACAAAGAAGAATGAATGCAAATTGAAGCATTAATAGATCGACAATTTAATACATTTGTCCAATCTGGACTCCAAACTCATTAAAATCAATTTCACAAAATCTACAAATATTTCAAGACAAAATCCTCTAAACAGCAACAGTCATCTACAACATCACTTCACAAAACATATACACCGTTAAAGAAAGATACCTAGCGCTAAACACAGCAATTCAAAACTTTCAATATAATGTCGCGAAATAAAACATGCCATAACAAGACCCAGCATATTAGCAAGCATCAAACGAAAAACTCTCTTCAAGCGCAATATCAAAATTTAATTCGCAGTTTATTCACGCACGCAACAATAGCCGAAGAAACATAGCAATCAGACAAACGCATACAAGTTTGGTCAAACAATAACTACCCACTATCAATCTATCTCAACAGAAGACATCCTTCAAAGTCAATAGTCATTCAATAGTACTATATATCTTACAAAGAAAAAAATTCAAAAAAGTCAGGAAAAATAATTTGGTGGATCCGTCTTAATCACAATGTCGACACCGACATTGCAAGAAATATTATTATATTAATACAAAAGGCATACATGTGACAGCAAAATTTTAAAAACTGTTAAAATTTTGGTCTGTAAAAAAAGAAGAAAACAAGTCTACATCTAATGCTTGTGAACAATTGAGCAGATGGTTTTCATTTTATTACACACATTATACGCCCCATCGGATGCACTTTAGATGATTCTGGTTTGCCAAAATTATTTATACATTTGCATGTCTGGTTACTACTTTCGCAGATTTTTTTTTACCATAACTTTTTTAAAGGAAGCAGAATCATATTTAAATAGTATTACATTTTAATCTGACAAATATTTGCAAAAATCTGATGTTTCGAAGTATTGGTTTTCTTTGTTCCACTCGTGTGTGCATCGTCTGGTATGGATCATTTATATAGCCCCCCATGTTCAACTTTGTACTGTTTGATGATAATTTTAAGATGTGATTTCAACTTTCTTGTTACAACTTAGTAGTAAGTTAATGTTGGTTTCGCATGAAATAATTTTAAAATGTCATAAAACGAATGAAATTGTAAAAAGTAAAATTTTTGTGACGTCATGATGTAGACGTACTTGATTGGCGGAAACAACGTGTCTCGTTCAACATCAACAATAATGATTATGATGGTGATGTGATGATGATGATAACGTTTATTAACATTTTTTATTTAAAATATATTTCGTCAATTATTGCCAAAATTAATTTTTTAATCCTTGTGCTACTCTAACGGTGTTTTTTTGTATCTTTGTTTCGTTCAAAAATAATCGTTCAACGCGATTTATTATACAATAAATTATAATTTTTTTCAATATTTGAAGAGTTTTAACAATTGTTTGTTTACGTACAACCGTATTTCAGCCAAATCATTATTTTCATATTTTATAAAATTGCTACACTTCCGCACGTCAAAACTGCCCATACATGAGGTAACATCATTTGGATGTTTTTAAATTTTTGCTTGTGAAAATATGTGAAATGTTTGCTAATGTCATTTTTTTAATTTCAAACAAAATTTTCCAGCATTTAAAAACTGAACTATACATGAAAGAAATGACGGCACAGCAATGGGTTTGGGAAATTTGTTGCAATATGGAGGGAATTCAAATTTTAACGACATCTTGTATCATTAAGTTCAATGTAAATATTTACAATAGCCTAAAAAACCAACAAAACCATCAAAGAAGAACAGTGCATATTTGTATTTTCTAGTTTTTAATTATTTGAAACACTAGCAAGCTTCAACCAAATTATAAAGTTTTTTGACGTTTATAATGTTTTTTTAATTAAACTGAGTAATACGGTAATAAATTCTGTATTTTGTAGTTTAGGTTACAAAAGGACATATACTCACTGAGTATATGTCCTTTTGCAACTTAAACTACAAAATTAAAGTTAAAAGTTGGTTTCTGCTCTGATGGCAACGAAACATCATCCTGTTGTTAAGCCAGGAGCAATTAAAAAATAAAAGTGAAAACAAGCGGGATGTTATTTGGACGTTAAACAATTCCATATGACTCTCGGAAAAAAATAAAAAATTTTAATAACCGAAAGAATAAAATTTAACTAAATTAAGTAAAAATCTAAAGGCTGAATCTGTTAACGTCTGTTTTGCTTTGCACAGATATAAAGAACACTGCTAATAATACTATTCTTGTGGGAACACCCAACTGATTTGTTTAAACAATGGTAACCGCTCTTATAGTGAAAGTATTATTTAATTCACTCAGGGGTGGGCAAGCTACGGCGGCGAGTGGCATGCAGCCCACCTAGCTATTTTATGCGGCCCGCGAGGGTTTGTTCACCACAAAAAAAAGAACCACAGATCTTGCAAAAATTTCCCCCGGGTCGAAAAAATTTGCTATTTAAGTACATATGTGGCCATTCAAAAGTAAAATAGTTCTTAATGCTGCCCTCACAGCAAAAAGTTTGCCCACCCCTGGTTTAATTAGTTTACAAAAGATTTTTGAACCAGTAGGCCATGCATTTTACAATATTTATTTTTTGATTTGAAGAAATGGCACTTTGGCAGAATTGAACAATATCTGCCAGTGGAAATTTTCAGATTAGTGGAATCATTAATTGGTGGTGCGTTAATCTGCAGTGGTGTTAAGGGAAACATGCTAAAAGCCAGTTCAAATGGTTGGTCTTGGGTTTTTGTGTTTCAGACTGTGTTAAAATGTTTTGGTAAGCAATGTTTGACACTTAATTCTGTCAGTTTATTATCTGTCGTTTTCTGTTGTAATTCATAATAGATTTCAAGTTTATGGTTTGAAACAAACAAAATTGTTAGCGTTATTTTTTCATTTTTTTAGAATCTTTAGAATCTACAAACCATATTATAGTAATGTGTATTTTTTACACTAACATATAGCTTTAATCATGGTGATTAATTGAAATTAATTCAAATAAATTGAAAAGAAATACTCATGCTGGATTTATTTATTTTGTTCAATTAATTTGCAATGACTGTTTTCCGTTTTACTGCTGAATGATATCCAGACATCCTTCTTTTCCTCTCTTTGCGTAGCTATCCTTTCTGTCTATGCTTCTTCTCCTCTACTAACTTCTAACAACAACAACAACGTGTAACAACATTCAGCCTTTATATACGCGTACGTACTGACTTGTATCTACAAGCGTGTATTTATAATGGAAAGTGTAAGATACGAGCAGAATGGTGAGTACCATGTAAGATGTAAAATAAATATTTAATTAAGAC